TTTCCCCCTTCTGCCCAAGACTAATGTGGCCCTAGATTAACTAAAACAAGAGATATTAGGGGAAAATACCACTATTACTACTAGCAATAAAAATCAGAAAATAACTACCAAAAAGAAATTAAAAAAGTATCGTAACCCTTGAATATTGTCACCTTTCTAAAAATAATGGACCAAATAATTTTTTCCAGAAGAGATTTTGGCAAAGAAAACAAAATCTCCATCTCTCCATTTTAATTAGTTCTGCTTCTTTGTTAGTGTTTGCTTATCTAATTCTTTATTTTATGGATCAATACCTCTTCTTTCTAGTCTGTAATGTTTGCCTTGTGTGCACAAATCAATGAATGAGAAAAACGACATCCGCCAACGACAGATATGAGGTTTTGTGTCTAATCCGTCCTCCTCCGCTCTTTTCATGGACCTTAATCCTTTACACATTTGACCTTCTCCTCCCGTCCCTCTCTTTGTGTCAGAGAGGTTGTGCATTATGCCGCGTAGTCGATCTTGCTTTCTCGCATGCAGAGGCCAGGCTGTCTATTGTTAAGGTCAACCGAATTCAGGAAGGAAACAGCTCCTGGCCTTCTCACCTATCAACTCAATACCAGAATGGACTTGACCCAGTCAAATTCTGCCTCCCTTCCTCTAAACCTTCATCTTTCCATCTGTGATGTTCAATCAGTCATCTTATTGATTTCAATCTGTGCTGAGAATCAGTGCCCGGAAGAAAACACACGTGGCTTAGTTTTTTGGTGACTCACGGTGAACGAATCCCTTGAACTTTCCTCTTTTTTTTTTTTTTTTTTTTGCACAAGTAAAATGATTTCACATGTGATGTTTTTGCAGCCTTAGAGCCAGAACTTTAGGAACCTCTAGCTTTGGGTGAAAGGTTAACTCACATTGGCGCTGTCAGTTCTGGGTAAAATCCCAAGGCAGAACACTGCCATTGAACATCTCTGTCCTTCAGGGAGGCAGTGGTGGGAAGTAACGAAGTACAAGTACTTCGTTACTGTACTTAAGTACA